CTTTCTGAGCTCAACTTGCTCTAACCACTTCTGTTTCAGGGTAAATAAAAAGTGATATAACCAGACCCTGGAAAGTTTCGTTGAAACTTTAGACAGAGTTGTGGAGCCTCAGCTTTTGGAGGCCATGTGCACTGGGAACCAGACATACGTGATTCCAATCCCGCTTTTTGTTGTGTGGCTTTATCCTGAGTCTCATTTTTCCCATGAGTAAAAATAGAGGTAGAACTTTTGAGATTAATTGAGCACAGGGATGTGAAAACACGTTGAAAACTGGCAAAGGGATGAGGAGAGATTATCAAGTCATAATAATAATGATGATGATAATGGATGGGTCACAGCAGCCTGGAGCCAGGCCCCTGGAATTCATGGAAAGATTAGGACAAAGTGACTCTTGGGTAGGCACAAGTGTCCCTCCCTGAATGTAGAATACAGAGGTTCGGAGGCTGGCCCCACACTCAGGGCCGCCCCAGCGATACGTGGCTTGCTATTGAGTGGCTCAGCCCAGTCCACAGCAGGGAAGACTGGAGCCTAGGGAGTGTGCGGGCCTTTCCTAAGCCACTGAGCTGCAGATCCAAGAACAAGAGGCCCATTGGACTAGAGCCATTACAGCCCTGGTTTTCCCCGCCTTTGGATGGGAACAGCTCACAGCTGGGGCCCAAGAGACAAGGAATCAGGAAGCTCCTCTCCTTGCAGTACAGTGGAGCCTCAAGTCCCCAGGCCCCATGAGCCCTCCTCCTGGGCCGGCCTCTCTCCCCTCCCCTGCCCAAGTCCTCCCACATTCCTCCAGGCAACAGGAAACCCAGCTGCAGCCCAGACTTCAAACAGCTCCTCCCCCTGGGGCAGGAGGTGTGGGAGGAGAGGCCAGAGGGCAGAGGGCAGAGGTCAGCTTTGTTCCTACCAGAGGTGGTGAGGGACCTGGGCGAGACAGAGGGGGGTAGGGTAGAGTCCTTGCCAGCCATACTGCATGTGTGTGAATTCCTGTGTCCATCACAGTGTGCATGGCCGTGGCCGTCCGCCTGTATCTGGGGATAAGTGTGTCTCCTTGGCTTGCTTTCCATTCCTGAACCTGAGTTAGAGGTCTGCCTGAATGTGAGTCCGCTCTTGTCTGTCTCTTGATGCTCGGCCTGGGTCCTCACTGACGTATGTGTAGGTGTCGTCAGACATACTGATTTGCCTGGTTCACAGGCCTGGTCAAAGCTCTGTGTTCTCTGAGTGTGACCTGGTGTGGCTCTCCAAGTCCAAGAGGGTGTCCTCTCTCGCCTCTTCTTACCTTTCCTTCGTGTTAGTTACCAGAAGGTTCCTTCTGAAAAGTGCCTCTGACCTTGTCACTCCCTTGTTCAAAACCTACAGTGGCTTCCAGGTGCCCAAGGCTTAGCGTGGCAGCGAAGTGCATGGCTAACCAGGCCCCTTCCTCCCTCGCTAGCTTTATTCTCAGCCACTGCCCCCTTCAGGTTTTTGTTTTTGCTTTTATCCTGGGGACTGAACCCAGAGCCTTCACACTGAGTACATCCCCAGCCCTTTCTTATTTTACTTTGGTCTTGCGAAGTTGCTAAATTGCCCAGGCTAGGCTCGAACTACCAACCCTCCTGCTTCAAACTCCCAGAGTGCTGGCATCACAGGCGTGCACAACCATGCCTGAGCCTCTCCTCAACAGTTTTTAAATTTTTAATTTTTACTAATACATTACATGTTTGCAGTACATAATATCGACATTCACTGTGGGGAGTTGGCCCATGTACATAACACATCTTAATTCTTTTTATATCCCCTTCCTTGTCCCCTCACATTTTATAATCCAACCATATGTACCTAACTGTAACTCTCTGTGGTCCCATTTCCTGCCTCTGAGCTCACTTAATTCTGTCTAGTCTAGAATAGTCTCTCTCTCTCCCCCTCTCAGTACTGGGCATTGAACCCAGGACTTCACACTGAGCTACACCCTCAGCCCTTTTCATTTTTAAATTTTGACACAAGATCTCACCACTTGGCCCAGGATGCCCTTCAACTTACAATCCTCCTGCGTCAGCCTCCCAGAGCGCTGAGTGCTGGGATTACAACTGTGCACCAGTTCCTTTTTTTTTTTTTTTTTCCTTTTTTACAAAGTGTCACTAAGTTGTCCAGGTTGACTTCAATTTTTTTTTCTCTTTTTACTATTTTTTCTGTTTGTTTCTAGTGAAACAATGTCTCTGAGAAGCTTTCAGCCTTACCCCTGCCAGCCCCTGCTCACCCACACGCCTTGTATTATCATTTTCTGATTGTGTCTGTCTCCGGAACACACATCTCGTTAAACTGTCTGCTCTCCGGGAACAGGAAATGTGCTGTATCTCTCCTCCCGGAATGGGACTTTTCTGAGCAGAACTTGGGCCTCCCGTCCCAGGGGAAAGTTTTCTGCACTTTTGGATGTACTGCCGAGAATGGCCACTAGAGGGAGCATGAACATCACTACAGGACCATCTCGTAGGCAATGTGTGTAATAGAGGATGGGAGGGAGGAAAGAGGGAGGGAGATTTCTATTCTCTACCTGGGAGACAGTTACTGGAGAGACAGAAGACCTGCCCAGCTCAGTCAGGGAGCATGTATCCGGATACACCCCATTTTGGATCCCCACCCCACCCAATTTCTTTCTTCTGACTTTTCCCCACAACTCAGAGGCCACGTACTCCTTCGTTGCCCGCCTTTTACTCCAGCTTCTTACCCTTTAACCTTCTTCATGCCTCATCTGTAGCCTCAGTCCTCTCATACATGATTATTTGCACTTTCCTGATTCAGCCTTGCTCCGCCATCCTCTGGGCCTTTGCGCATGCTGTTCCCTCAGCCAGACATGACCTTGCTCTCGGGTTGCTTCACCAGGCAGGCTTCTTTCATGTACTCCAAGAAACTGCCCTCAGCTCCCAGGCTGATATATCCCTAGTGTTGTCATTGCTTACTATTTTTTTTAGATGGGATCATACTACGTCCTCCATGGTGACTTTGACCTCCATGCTAGCAATCCTCCTGCCTCAGCCTCCCAAGTATGGGAACTAAAGGCATGTGCCACCATGCTAAGCTCCTTGTTTACTTTTTGTCTCCTGGACAGGACTAGCCTATAGAAGATGTCAGTTCATGTGTTTGAAATTAATAAAAGAGCTCTTTTATAAGGATGATACTCATCGTATGGGGCTACCTTGGGCTCCTATTTGCACCATGCCCTCCCTGGGCTTGATTCCAGGTCAGTAGTATACTTTCCCGTGCTGCTTTAATCAAATAAAGGAAAATGACACCGTGGGACACAGGAGTCTTCGTGAGTTCAAATCCTGGCTCTGTGATCCAGCTGTACGACCTTTGGCAAGTGGTCGAGCCTCTCAGAGTCTTCCTTTCCTTTTTTATAAAATGGTGATCATTTCACTTCTGCACTGCCTCATGGTGAGGATCAAATGAGACCATGCATGCGAAACACCCAGCATTAGTCAATTAGATGTCCTCCTCCCCAAGCATGAACTTGGAAATCAAATTGCCCTCTGAGTCCTAAGCCCGTAAAATCCATGCATCAAGAAGGAGAAGAGCCAGGTGGGGGAGTGAATGAGGCGAGAGATGGTTTTGTAAACGACTGAAGAGTTTTGTGAACGGTGCAAACCTGCAAACCGCAATCAAGGTGACCCGCCTGTAATCTCAGGGAGGCAGGGCGAGGATGTGATTGAAATGGAGAAAGCAGAAGCCTAATCAATTGCATTGTGCTCTATCTGAAGGGAACAGGAGGCTACACTGAAAGGGGGTGAAGGGAAACTCATTCAGCTGTTCCAGAGGGGGCTGGGGAGCCGGTGGGCACAGGGAGGCGCCCGTCTCCTGAGCAGCACTGAGGAGCCCGCGGAACTCCATGTGGTTTGTGGCCCTGCTGGGTCTTCACTGAGACCACCGGGGGACCCAGGTAGCAGGTGGAGCCCCAGAAGGCAGACAAGAATGTTCTGCTTCCAGGAAAAGGCTACCACGACGAAGAGCACTCACTGGGGCGCCAGGTTTGGTTTAAGCCCCTGTGCTGCCACGCATGCCCTGTAAACCTTGAAAATGTGGACTTACTTCACTGTGCCTCAGTTTCACTATCAGCAAAACGAACACACAACAGCTTTCCCTTTCACTGGGTTCTGTGTGGATGAAATGGCTCTAGCACTTTGTAAGCAACAGTGACCACCAGCGCTAATGTGTACTGACTGAGCATTCTTTTTTTTTTTTTCCGGTACCAGGAATCGTACTCACAACCTTGCACTTGCCAGGCAGGCGCTGTGCCGCTGAGCTAAATCCCCAGCCCCTTGAGTGAGCATTTTATTGCTACTTCACAGATGAGCACACTGAGGCTTGGAGAGATTGATAACTAACAAAATCACACAGCCGGTGTATGGTGAAAACAGGACCCATGCCAGGCCCTACAAGAGCCACATTCTTCCGTACTAACTCTGTGGCCAGGGTAAAAACTCAGGTCTCTAAAGTACACCTCAGGCTCTTGTGAGTTGGCTGACCAGAAACTATGGCCCCCAGGAAGCTTTGGCCCCGGAGAATTTGCAGTGCCAGCGCTCCCACCCCTGCAATAACCAATCTGAGTAGCTACTTGTAGCCTCTATCTTTTGCTCCCATTTCAACAGCCGCCAGCACAAGGCTGGGCGCGGGGAAGCCTCAGTCTGCACTGACTGCCTTATCATCGTTTCTAAAGGCCTCTCAGTTTGAGAGAGTTCCCAGGGAATGTTTTTGCCAATAATCACTACGAGAACGAGGAACACACACACACGCACGCACGCACGCACTCACGCACGCACGCGCATGCGCACACACGCGCGCATGCGCAGCAGACACACTCTTCCCAAAGCCTAGAGGCAATGAGGTTGAGTAGGAAGATTGTGGGCTTTAGTGTGAAGCTGGTTTTGTCATACACAGCTCTGCGATGCTGTTGCATCACGTAACCCCTGAGCCTCAGTTTTCTCTTCTACCAATGGAGCTCATCATAGAAACAAACTCAAGACTGCATTACATTCTTTTACAAAGGATATAAACACATCTGACATGCAGCAGACAATAAATGAGTTGTTCTTATTACTATTATTCCTCCCCAGCCCAGCTGAACTCTTCCAAGGCAGGCACAGATCGTGCTCATGTTCATGTTCCCGGCCTCCTGCTTAGCAAAGGGCCCACCACAGAATCAATGCCTAGGAACTGTTTGGCAATTGCAGCACTGATTCTGAGCTTCCAGACTTCCTTCCCATCCATTCCCTTAACAAGTCCCAGGGTCAACAAACACTTCCTGACCTGAGAGGTGGGAATCCTTATTCTCCGCTCCCCATGTTTCCACACGGAGACATATTAGTTCCGGTTTCTCAAAGGAGGGTGGGAAATTACAGGTTGTTTAGAATCCCTGATTCCAGCAAGTAGGAGCCCCTGGTCACTGTAACAAACAAAACTGCTTGCACACTGCTTCAGAAGCTCTCTGGGGGCAGAACTCCCTTAGTGAGATCCACTAAGCTAGACAAAATTCTCCCCTTCCTCCCTCCTTCTGCGTCCTTTTTGGGGGAACCTGCTAGCTGCAGAGCCAGCTGTGATCTTCTCTTCTGCCTCTGCTGAGGGAGCCCAAAGGTTGTCCCCACACGCCTGTGATGACTGGCAAATCTGCTGAAATCAGGTGAAGAATCAGCAAATCCATTGTGCACAGACTGAAAGCCACATCAGCAGTGCGGGGGACATTTTGATTTATCTCTGGTTGCCTGTCTTTTGTGTCCATCTTTCAAATCATCCTAAATTCACATGGAGACGGCCAGCAGGATTTTGGGGTGTCATCCTAAAATTCCACACCTTTTGCGTCCTGTGCTTGGTAGGCATTAGGGCACTCTCTCACCTTTCTTTCCTGCTTCCAATAACCAAACTTATCCTGTTCACCTCCCACCAACCATCACCCCTTCCAAAGGAAGCTTCAGGGAATTTTCCTGGTTCAAAGTCTCATGTTGTTATTTTCCTTATTTACATCATCAATAAACACACACACTCTTCAGAGAGGTGCTGAGCCCAAACCTGGGCCTGGACCACAGCTTCTAGCCAGGAGGAAAGGAGTCCAGTAAATCCTGCCCATATTTGTAACTTACAGACACAAGAGAACTGGGAGTAGGAGGTAAATTCTTGTGTCCTGGACCAGAATGGGAAGACAGGAGGGCAGGAACGCAGGGGTAGGACATAAGTGAGTGAAGGGATATACAATTTCATAAATAACTAGACAAGGTATAAGCATTTTGAGGAGGCAGGGGAAAGAGGCGAGGGGCATGGAGGGTCCGAGTTGAGAAGAGGAGAAGCAGTGTTTGGGGGCAGAGTGGATGAGAAGCGCCCTGTCAGCACCCATCTCCTCCATCTGTAAAAGGAGTGGGTTGCCCTAGATGGGCTCAGAGCTCAGAGCACTCAGTCTCCCCCGACACACTGGAACACTGTAGGGTTCTATACCTGGGGACTTTGGGATCAGAGCCCTGAGGACTGGCAGAGTCCGGTGGGCACCACCCAAGAGGTGGCTGGTGGCTGTTTGAGCTATGTGTCATCCCCAGGCTGGTACTGTGGCTCTGTGGAGGTAAAGTAGTCTTCCAGGAAGGACTGCAGATACTCGAAGGTGGGTCTCTCCTCTGGGTCCAGCCGCCAGGTCTGTTCCATGGCCTCATACAGGGACGCTGGGCAGCCCGGGGGACACGGCATGTGGTAGCCGCGTTCCACCTGTTCCAGCACTTCCCGGTTAATCATGCCTGAAGGGTGGGGCTCCATCAGTCAGGGGACTGGCCCCTCCCAAAGAGGAAGCTCAGAAAAACCCTTCCTCATAGCACTACCCAACCCCCAACACACCTGGGTAGGGGACTCGGCCTTTTGTGATGATTTCAGTGAGCAGGATCCCAAAGGACCACACGTCCGACTTGATGGTGAATCTGCCAAAGAGGGCGGCCTCTGGGGCTGTCCACTTGATGGGGAACTTGGTCCCTGAAGAGGGAGGGGGAAAGGAGGGAAAGTTAGTAGTGATGGTGGTAGGTCCCTGGGAACCGCTGGATTAAAAGAATGGGAATTTAAGGATTGGGGAAGGTGGGGATCCTGAGCAGAGGTCTCTGAGTATAGTAAAAAGACCTGGTATATAGCTATCACTTGTTATGTGTCTAATCTTTTTCTTTTGAAACACTGGGGATTGAGCCACAGTCCTTGCACATGGTAGGCAAATGCTCTGCCACTGAGCTACACCCCTGGCCCCAGGCTGTGTTGTAGGTGATATCACTTAACTCACTGAACCCTCACAGAACCACCCTGATGCAGATACTTTTAGACCCTTCATCTTACAGCTGAGGAAAAGTAAGCAGCGAGGAAGGTAACTTGCCCAGCTTATACAGCAAGTGGCTAGGATTCACGCCAAGGATTTTGGCTACAGAGTTCACACTAGTATGCCCTATTGCCTGTCCTTAAGAATTATAGCAGAGTCAGACACAGTGGTACATGCCCGTAATCCTGGTACTAGGGAGGCTGAGGCAGGAGGACAGCAAAGTTTGAGTCCTGCCTGGGCAACTTAGTGAGACCTCATCTCAAAATAAGAAATAAAAAGAGCTGGGGATGTGGCTCAGTGGTAGCATGTCCCTGCATTTGATCCTCAGTATTGCAAAAATTTAAAAAAATAAAGGAACCACACCAATGGCTGGCACATAGTAGGTGCTTAATAAATACCTGTTGACATAATGAAGATCTTCATTTTACAAATCAGAAAAGGCAGCTCACCGAGGACAGTAAGTGCCTGAGCTGGGATGTGAACTAGAACTTGAAAAGTCTCTTACACACACCAGAATGGGGCCCGGGATAAGTAGGGGTGGGAAAGGGATCCTGAGTATGATCGAGCTCTGGGGAGGGGAGGTGAAGCCGGGCACCTTGCTGGGGGTTGTACTCATTATCCGTGATGAGGCGGGCCAGCCCGAAGTCAGCGATCTTGCACGCCAGCCGCTCCCCCACCAGGATGTTGGCGGCCCTCAGGTCTCGGTGGATGTAGTTCATGCGCTCCATGTAGGCCATGCCCGAAGCTACCTGGGAAGGGCCGAGGTGTGGAGAGATGGGAGCTCACGTGGGCTCACAGCACCACAGCCTGTGTGAGGGGTGAGCGGCTATCTGAAAAATCCGCTCTCCAGATGGGGGTACTGAGCCTTGCAGAGAGGCAGCACCCTGGCTCAGGGGACAAAGCGGATACACTGGGAGGGGCACACGCCCTGGGGCAGGTTGCATGATCCAGGCAGGGAGATTTGTGGAAGGGTAATGGGAAGGAGGTCTGGGAGACAAAGGCTGCTGGTTCAGTTTACCTGGGATGCCATGTCCACCAACTGGGGCAGCCTCAAGTCCTGGGCCTCCTGGTCCTTGAGGAACTCCAGCAAGCTACCTGCGGAAAAGAAAGCCGAAAATCAGCAAGGCCCTGCTCCCTGCCTGCTCGATCTTTGCCCCTCCCCCCGCTCTGCCTCCTGCTCCGGGGCTGTCTTACCTGGATCGCTGAGGAGCCCACCAGAACGCCCCAAATACCTGGCCCAGGCCCTGCCTCAGACACCGACTCTGCCCTCCGACGCGCCCCACTTAGATTCTGCCCCAGATCCCAGATCCTGCCTTGGTTTGCCCAAGCCCAACCGAGAGCAGCGGATTACCTGCCGCAGGCCTGAGGCTCCGCCCTGACCACGCCCCTAAGCAGGCCCCGCCCACACCGCCCTCCAATTCTTTTGCGCATCTCAGCAGCTCGTGTAGTGGTCCACTCAACTAAACTTCGCTCGAAGCTCCGCCCATCCAGAACCCGTTTCCTGGCCCGCCCCTCACCGTGGCACATGAACTCGGTTACGATGTAGATGGGCTCCTCCGACACCACTGCGTACAGCTGCACCAGCTTGTCGTGACGCAGCAGCTTCATGATCTGCGCCTCCTCCAGGAAGGCCTTCGGGGACATGGTGCCTGGCTTCAGGGTTTTCACCGCCACCTTCGTGGCGCCGTTCCACGTGCCTGTCCAGCAGCCGCCTCTCGTCAAAACCTGCTTCCCACCAGTCCAGTCCCTCCTCGCCCCAGCATCAACCCTCCCCACGCCCCACGCCGTCCTCCGTACCCAGCCACACATCCCCGAAGCAGCCGGTGCCCAGCCTGCGCTCCAGAGCGATGGAACTGCGGCTGATCTCCCAGGCGTCCTTGGCCAGGCCCAGTGTCTGCGGCTTCATGGTGGTGCAGGCAGCGGTGAGCAGGTAGCACAGCCCATCGTTCACTTCTGAGGGGGAGGCCGAGGGAGGGAGGTCACAGGTGGGTCAGGACACCCCCACACTCCTCACCCCAGCCAGCCCGGAGCAGGCCTCAGGTCAGGTATAAGTAACTAGGCTCCGGGTGAGGTTTCGTGTTGGTGAACATGTTGCTACCCAGGAGCGGAGGTGGCACCCAGAGGGAGACATGATTTCTATACGGACTGTGGCCTTTGCATAGGAGGTGGCCCCCAGCTGGGCCTTTAAGGATAAGGTGGGATTCTGACAGGTGAAAATGGGACTGGGGATTGCGGGCAGTGCTGTGGACATGAGGCCCACTGTGTGCCATGGACTTTGTCCTTGGCTTAACCAAGCAAGGTAGAAACTCGGTCACTGACTCCCACTCTCAACCCCACAGCCAGTTCTTCATCAGGTTAGGTTCATGCTGCTCCTGCCCAGCTTCAGGACGGGCTGCTTCTGCCTTTCTGCCCACCGCCATTGATTTAATCTGGCCACCATTATCTCTCAGCTGGACAATGGCTACTGCCTCTTAACGGACCCCTCATTCATCCTTGACTTATTTTCTTTTTGGTCTTTTTGAGACAGGGTCTCGCCATGCAGTTCAGGCTGGCCTTGAGCTCACTTTGTAGCCCAGGCTGGTCTCGAACTCACAGCGATCCTCCTGCCTCAGCCTCCCGAGTGCTGGGATTACAGGCGTGCGCCACCACGCCCGGCTCATCCTTGCCTTCTGACATTGAAGCTCCACCCAGCATCTGGAGTTCCTCACCAATGTGCAGACCAGCCTCTGTCAGCACCCTGTGTTGGTGGCTCCCTGCTCTGGTGCCTTACTGGGGCCTTCAGGCCCCAGACACTCAAGTTTCCAGATTCTGGCCAATTTCCTATACATACACTTGGGGGCGCCACTTGGCCGTGGGCTGCTTCAGGCTTCAGGACTTTGCTGTCCTCCTGCCTCAGCCTCCCTAGTTCTGGGATTACACGCATGTACCACTGTGTCTGACTCTGCTATAATTCTTAAGGACAGGCAATAGGGCATAATAGTGTGAACTCTGTAGCCAAAATTTCCTCTGGACTCTACAGGATCCAGGACTGGGTACCTCCATATTTGGTTCTGGCACTGCCACTGTAGGAAACCTTTCCTTTCTCTGGGCCCCAGTCTTCCCAATGGGACAACACAACAGTGAGTTCACTCAGAGATCTGAAGCCTGCCTCACCCATGTAGTGCTGCACCAGCTCTTGCACGGACTCGAACTGGGCCCGTGTAGTGATGTAGTAGCCACCGGTGTCCAGTTTGCGGATCTTGTAATGCTTTACATGATCGCCTCTGGTCTGGTCCCAATCACGGATGGACAAGGAGTAGGCGCCTGTGGGAAAGAGTCGCTTTGGATCCACTGTCCCCCTCTCCCGCATTCAGGTAGCAGGAAGAGACCCCGTTCACAAGCTGGAGACTCTGTCTGAAGGTCTCATCTCTGGAAGCCAGCACCAGAGAGATCTGCCCCTTCAGTCGATCCCAGTCTTGACCCTGACCCAGTCAACCCCCTAGCAACCCGAAACCCACCCAGATGGCTGGGCCTCACTGGCCAGTAGCAAGTGATGCTGCCCCCACCTTTGGTGGTCTCACTCTCCCGGATGAGGAAGGCCCCCTGGGGGTTGCCTGGTGACAGCAGCTGCCTCTCAGCATCCTTCCTCCCGATCTTCCCAAAGTACCACCTGTGGGGAACAGCGGGCAAGAATGAGGTACTCTTCCTTCAACCCCCAACTCAGCCTGCTGGGCAGTCTCCTCACAAGCCAAGACTCAATTTCCTCATCATAAGAAAAGGCCCATATAGCTGCTTCACAGTCTGGGCTCCAGGATCACAGAGAAAGGAGGGTGTTGCCCGGCATACAGCAGGTGCCTAATAGAGGTTAGCTTTCAGTGCTTTGGGTATCTCAAAACAGCTGGAAGCCAGTCACTAGTGACCTCATCAGGGTGCCACAGGTCTCTTAGTCCATCTCACTAGAGTCCTCCATGGTCTCATTTTGTAGATAAGGAACTTGAGGTTCAAAGAACCTGCCCAGGAGGCTGGCTGACGTGCTCCCCCTAAAATCCTCTGCCACCCACCTTAGGTCTTTCTCCACCAGCCCTACCCCATCCTTGGTCCCCAGTTTTTTCCTCCCCTGGCTTCTAGACCAACACTTCCCTTGCTTCTCTTCCCCTTTCTGACTGCTCCTGCCCAGCTCTGAGTATTGCTTTGCCCTCACTCTTAAATTGAGGAAGCTGTCTTAAGTCTCAAATTCAACCTCAGGTTTCATTCATCCTCCTTTCCCTTGGGGGTTCTCTCTGGGGTTGAGTTATAGCTCTACCTCAGCTATGCAAGTACGTGGGGCGGCTGAAAAATACAGTGACTGTTTAATTTTTTTTTAATGTGTTACAGTAAAAGAAACATTGCCAAGAACAAGGGGATGAGTGTGTTCAAATTGAGGGGAAGTATTTTGATGGGGATTAATGGCAATGTGTCTTTTACTGTAATAAACTTTTAATTTAGGCATTGGCTGCACTTTTTAATCACCCTCCTACAGTCTGAGAATTGAAGTGACCACAGGTGTCACAGAAGACTCAGATGGCATCCAGTCGCTAAATTGGCCTGTGACTAGCATGGGCTGATTTAAAAGGAACATAGTGTTCTTTTTTCTTTTCTTTTCTTATCTTTTTTTTTGTCTTTTTGAGGCAGGGTCTGGCTGTGCATTCAGGCTGGCCTTGAGCTCACTTTGTAGCACAGGCTGGTCTCGAACTTGCAACGATTCTCCTGCCTCAGCCTCCCGAGTGCTGGGATTACAGGCGTGCGCCACCAAGCCCGGCAGGAGCATAGTTTTCAAATCAAGGAGTGCAGAAGTCTCAGGGGACTCTGGGATGGCCCATCCACTCCTGAGTACTGGGCACAGTGTGGGAAGCAAGAAAGCATTGGCAAATGTATGCAGGAGCGGGAAGAAGGAACTGTCAAAGGGCTGTGTAGACAGGATATAGACCCAAGGTTTTTCAAAGCTTTCCCTCCACCCTCACTCATGACATCAGCTTCTTCCTTAATAATCAATACAATAAGAACAGGCCAGGCATGGTGGCGCACACCTGTAATCCCAGCACTCGGGAGGCTGAGACAGGGGGATCGTTGCAAGTTCAAAACAAGCCTGGGCTGCAAAGTGAGCTCAAGGTCAGCCCGAACTGCATAGCAAGACCCTGTCTCAAAAAGACAAAAAAAAAAAGTGCAATAAAGTAAAAACAGTAAGAATAAGACAGATTTTGTGTTGGGCTCTGCTTTGTACAACATGCATTCTGCAGTTCTCATAGCACTGCTGTGAGCTAGGTACTATTATTAACTCCCATTAGACAGACGAGGAAATTGAGTAGTAGTGGTTAAGTGATGTGCCTGAGGCCACAGCGTGATGCAGAATAGGAACTTGAGCTGTTTGCTGTAGGGCCCCAGCTCTTAACCACAACACTGCACCGAGCACCTCTCAGACATAGTGACACTGCACCCGGGGTGCAGACACAGTACGAACCCCAAACCTCCAGCCCTTCCACAGTCACCCTTCTTCTCCTTCGTGCCTCCTGCCACCTCCCCAGACTAAAGGCCACTGGTGCCCACTTCCCTCTGCTCAGGAAAGCCCCTGCCCTAGCACACGAGCAGCCCCCACATGCCCACATTTCTTTCTTTCCCCAAGGAAATGTCCTGAGTCCTTTCCTGCCGTCACTGCTGTGCCATCTTCTCATCTTGCCTTAGCTTGAAGTCGTGCCTCACACTTGGGGCTCCACTTCCTCACCTCCCACGCCCTCCCAGGCTCTGCTGTCTGGCCTCTGCCCCTGCTCCACGTGAGTGGGTGAGCTCTCATCAAGGTCACCCCCACTGCCAAACCCAGGCGCAGCCCCTGACACTGCCGCTCCTGTTGTCTGCACCTTCTCACCGTCTGGGCCTCCTGTGTTGCTCTGGCCTCGTTTTCCTCACGCACCCAGGGCTCCCTGCCCTTCACGGCAGCTTTCCTCAAAGCTGGGCCCTAGGGCTGGTCCCTTTCTCAATTCCGTCCCTCATTCTTACCCCTCTTGGGCAGCTTTAATTTTCCTGTCTACTTTGATGAGTCCCAAATCTCCCTCAGCCCAGGTGTGCCATCTACAAGGGCCACAGCACACACACAAAGGAGTCTTTGTGCCAATTAAGAAAATGTGCCCTTCCCCTAGGCTAACTCAGCGGCGAGGCTGGGCATGGGGAGGGGGTGGCTGGGCACAGGGTGAGCACCTCCCAGACCGAGTACAATCTAATCTAATTGTGGGCAGCCTCCTCCACCTAGGGATTCCCCTTAATCCAACAAGTCCCCCTCCAAGAGCCCATGAACCTCTGTCTCCCCAGTTGTCCTCCACCTTAGTGGCTAGTTCCACCACACACTCAGTTCAAGACGTGAAGTCACCTTGACTTCTCCCACTGCAAATCAACACCAGCTCCTGGAGATTCCTGTTCTGCAAAATCCTTTCCATTCTTTCTTTCCTCAGAAATGTATGGTACAAATGAGGACAGATAATTTTTTCTGAGGTCCTGGGGATCAAACCCAGGATCCCATGCATACCAAGGGCTTTACCACTTAGCTGCACCCCCAACCCCAAGGATAGATCATAAAAGGCTTTTATGAGCCTCAGTCTCCTCATATGTAAAATGAGGACACTAATAATATCAATAATGGTATTTTGAGAATTAAATGAATCAAAGTAGGTGAAGTACCTGTTACAGTGTCTCAAAGGTACCCTGTAAATGGTCATTCCCAAATTTTTTTTGTAAGCAGGCACTCTGCTATGTTCTATACCCCCAACCCTTCCCCGCCTCTTTATTTTTTTATTTTTTTATTTTTTTTTGTCTTTTTGAGACAGAGTCTCACTATGCAGTTCAGGCTGGCCTTGAGCTCACTTTGTAGCCCAGGCTGGTCTCAAACTTGCAACAATCCTCCTGCCTCAGCCTCCCAAGTGCTGGGATTACAGGCGTGCACCACCACACCCGGTGTTCTTTAGTAGAATTAATTTTAAATGTTTCTTTACAATTATTTAACCTTGTGCATACTATGAGGTGTGGTCACAAAATATGGTAAATGTTTACAATTTAAAATATATATTACAGTAAAAGAGTCATTGCCACTAATCCCCCTCAAAATACCCCTCCCCACATCAAACAGACTTCTCCCTTTCTTCTTGTCACTTGCTGGAGCATTTTTGGAAGTCCTCTGTCACAAGTGTCTTTAGTTGTGCCGTCATGGCTGGCCTCAGTGTCCTGAATCCATTCAAAATTGTTTGTCTTTCATGGTCTTTTTGACTTCAGGGAAGAGCCAAAAGTCACATGGTACCAGATCCAGTGAATAAGATGGATGAGTGCACACCATAGTATTTTTCTTTGACAAAAATTGCTGTAAATTTTTCTAATCAATTCAGGACACGGAGGCAGCCACAAAAAGACACTCACAGAAGACTTCCAGAACTGCTGCAGAAAGTGGCAAGAATAATGGGGTAAGTGTTTGAAGCACGGGGTAGTATTTTCAAGGGGATTAATTGCAATGTGTCTCTAACTGTCTTTTTTTTGGTGTGGAGGGGCTGTCTTTTTGAAACAGGGTCTCACTATGCAGTTCAGGCTGACCTTGAGCTTACTTTGTAGCCCAGGCTGGTCTCGAACTTGCAAGGATCCTCCTGCCTCAGCCTCCCAAATACTGGGATTACAGGCGTGCGCCACCACGCCCGGCTCTAACTGTTGTAAATTTTTATTTAAATGCAGTTTTTGATCAGACCTCATAAATACACATCTTATTCCTGAGCTTCCACTTTACAGTTTGGTTTTATGGTGTTGAAGCCCTCAAGCATGGCAGGCACACGCTCTGCCACTGAGCTACACCTCCACGTCCAACTTTATGATTTTTTTAAGTTCATCCTCTGTTGCTGTCACTGAGAGGCAAGGTGTCCAATGCCTAACAAATGCAGCCAGAAGATGCGGGTTCAGACCCCACCTCTTCCACTCCCCAGCTGTCTGAACTTGGGCGGGATATGTACTTTCTCTGTGTCTCAGCTTCCTCATTGGTGAATAGGACAATAATAGCTTTTAACTCTGTTAACACACAGAAAGCACTTCCAAGAGCATCTAGAACTTAGTACCTGCTCTGTAAATACTATCGGCTGTTACTGTCGTCATTATCTACTTTGATTCCCACAACAGCCTCAAACAATTCTAGCCGAGGAGCAGGCTCAGAGTAGAGCAATGACTTGTCTAAGAGGTGGCCTCGGAGTCTGGACGCCAAGGGCCCGTCCATAGGGCCGACCCTCCCCCACTCCCCACTCACTCTTCAGCTTGGATGGAGTCCACAGGGGCCACATAGTTGCTGGGAACGTAGCCAGTTTGTCCAGAGCTGAGGGACCGAGCCTCCCACCAGTCACCTTCACTGTAGGCACAGAACAGGCAGGTGGTCAGTGGCAGCTCCAGTCCTTGGGACACCCTGGAGTCAGGCAGGGCCACACAAAGCCCCTTCACCTGGCTATCACCTGCAGGGGGCTTTTGTCTGCTCAGCCCGCAGCCTCTGCGGCTGCCCCAGGAGGGCTTTGCCTTGAAGAAGGAATTGATTTGAGGACACCTGGACCTCTCGGCTGCTTCTGTTGCTCCTCAGCTGAGCTGGGGTTTAGGGATGGCACAGACCTCAGACTGGATCACTTCCTCGCCGAAAACCTCCCAAGAATGACATATTTCTTTCTGGATAAAATCCAGACTCCTCAGCATGGTTTAAAAAGCTGTACAGATTCTGCCCCACCACCTCACCTGCTCTGCTCCCTCCATTCTGCCGTTCACATTCCCCTCCCCGCGTGCTGGGGACCAACCTCAGGGCCTTGCATGTGCTAGGCAAGTGCTGCACCACTAAGCTGCAGCCCCAGGCCTGCATCTCATTCTTGGTGATCCACCTAGACTGAGCCACTTGGTGGATTCTAGGAGTCATTATTTATTCTCATTCTCTTGTTGCCTTTTCACACCTCTTCCTTTATGTCTACTCATTTTTCTGTCTCAGATTAAAAATCACCTTCTCCTGGAAACCTTCTCTGATCACCTCGACTCTGGAGACCATGTTTGCTGTTCTTTCTGTGCCCATAATCCCTCATGTCCCTTCCCCCCACGTACTGGCAGTTCTCCAGGGTATTTTTTTCTGTTTTTTCTTCAGACAAGGTCTCACCATGTAGTGCAGCCTGGCCTTGAGCTCACTATGTAGCCCAGGCTGGCCGCAAACTCACAGCGATCCTCTTGCCTCAGCCACCTGAGTGCTGGGATTACAGGGTGCGCCATCCAGGGTATTTTTCTTTTCTTTTGTTTTTGACAGTGCTGGGGACTGAACCTAAGCCTCTGTACATGCTAGGTAAATGCTCTGCCGCTGAGCTGTATCCCTAGCCTCCCTTTGCTTTTTTAAATTTGGAAACAATGTCTCACTAAATTGCCCTGGCCGGCCTTGAACTTGCAAGGAGCTGGGATTACAAGCATGTGCCACCACAGCTGGCATCATTATTATTATTTCGTTTTGGGTTTTGAAATGCTGGGGATGGGTGCCAGCTATGCACACTACCATGGAGCTATGCCTCTAGCCCTGATAGGATTTTTACCAACTAGGCTGGAGCCTTCTGCAGATAGGGACTGGGTGGGACCCCTCTCGGGATCCAGCTCCCAACCCAAGACCACGCCCTGAGCTCCGTGGCCTGGTGACTCACGTATTATTCAGGATGTGGAACTTCTCTCCCTTGGTGAAGGTAAGGTCATCCTCTGTCCGGGCCTCATAGTCATACAGGGCGATGAACAAGGTCACCCCAGTCCCTGCAGAGTCAAAGTTGCTCAGCAGGGTAGGGCAGGCTCAGAATGGGGCACAAGAGGGTGGTGCCCCCAGATTCTTGTTCCCCAGCCAGGCACTGTGTCTCCCCGCTGCTGCAGCACCCCAGCGCCCAAAGACCTTTGGAGCCCAGCGGATTCCCGGTTTGGGCCTTCCAGCTGGAGCTCCCACGGGTCCAGGACACAGCTTCGTGCCTTTCTCACCCTGGGGAGTCCCCAAGCTGCCCACTCCAACTCTTTCCCACCAAGACTTCCCACCTGGGCAGTGGCACCGAAGAGGCCAGAAGAGTCATCTTTACCACTTGTATGTGGCATCGGTGTCCCCCTTGTAGAGGACCCCTCGGACCAGGGTTCCAGAGTAGGCTGTGCCCACCTCCTCAGCCTGCCTGGGCTCAGGAGCCGAGCTGTGCCTCCCACATCGGTCTGGGGGCTTCCGCAGAGGAGTCCAGTTTTCCCCCTCCCCAGTGTCCTGCAGGACCCAGGCAGCACTGGCTCCAGCCCTCCGCACTCACCTGAGATGCCCCTGATGGTGCCGGCGTCGAGGAAGCTGGGGTTGGTGGGCTGAGGGGAGAAGTTGTTGTAGTTGGGGATCTGGGCAAAGGAGGATGCGGGCCAGGACCGAGTGGGGTCAGGGCCGTAGCGATCCGTAGCCCCGTGGCTCCGGAATTTCTCTTCCAGGTCAACATCCTCCTTGGACCCTGGCTCCAACTTCTTGCAGAACAGACAGCCCATGCCGGGTACCCTGCTGTGGAACAGGGATACACCTCACTCAGGGCCCTGCCAGTGCACCCGCCTACATACACAAGCATGTGCGCACACATACAAGCACACACACACACGCATGGATACACATGTACGTTGGTGTTGGGGGTGAGTGTATAAACTGGTGTGGGTGGGTGGGTGAGGGCTTGGATTGGGGTCCTCCCTAGTGAGGGACAAAAGCGGGCGGGGCCACCCTTTGCTTTATCTCCCAGCTTCCTCTGTTGTGTGTTTAGAGAGAATGTGTGTCCTCCTATCTTGTCTTCCTCTCTGTCTGCATCTCTGGGGTTGGTTTTTCTTTCTTTCTTCATTTATCTTCTCCCATCTTCTTCTCCTTCCTCTTCTTTTTCTTTTCCTTCTTCTTTTTTCCTCTTCTTCCTCCTCCTTCTTCTTCTTGGAGACAGGGTCTCACTATGTAGCCCAGTCTGGCCTCAAACTCCTGGTGATCCTCCTGCCTCAGCCTCCTGAGTGCTGGAATTTCAGGCATGTGCCACCACACCCAGCTTGTTGGTATCTTTGAGACAGGGCCCTGTTATGTTACACTCGCCTGGAACTCACAATCCTCCTGCCTCAGTCTCCCATGGGTGTATACCACCATACTCAGCTTGCTGTGACTAATTTTCTACATCAGGATGTTGCTGTGTTGATTTATATATTTTTGCCATTGCTTTGATGTGTTGTGTTTCTGGGACTCCTTCAGGATTCTCGTGCATGTGTATCTTTGTGTGTCTCTAAGTGTGTTTGCTTGTGTGTATGTGTACATGTTCAGCTCTTGATAAATGTATGTGTGCAGGTTTGTATAAATTGCTGCACATATATTTGGCTATGTGTGTACACATCTTTATGAGTGTGTGTGTGTTTCTGTGACAGTGTGTCTGTGGGTGTCCCTCTGTGCACACTAGTCTGTGTGAGTAGGTGTCTCTGGTCTGTGTGGCTAAGCCTGTTGTATGTAGCTCTGTGTGGAAGTGTTTGTGCTTGATCTCTGTGAATATGTGAGGGTACGTGCGTATGTGTATGTCCCTCTGTGTGTGCACGCCTCTAAGTATGTGTGTGTATGTGTGTGTGCGGACGAGCACACTGTGTGCCTGCACCTGGAGATTCCCTGCAGAGGGGGATCAAGGCCGTTTCCTGTCGTGGGTCCAGCCTCTGGCCTCTCAAGCTGCCTCATTCTGGCTCCCCCATCTGTTACCTAGCAACAGGGCCTGGCAGGAGGAGGGGGCTGCTAGGCGCTGTGGGGCCCAGGAAGGCCACCCCCACTCTGTTTCCTGACCCTGAAAGCCTTAGTACCCTCCCCATCCCCACTCACCCCTCAGGCCCCTACTCCTGGGTCAGCAGGGCTGCAGCATGGTCCTTGGGAGGGGCAGAGACCTGAGGGTGAGACAGAAGGACATGAAAGATGAAGGCCCTGCCAGTGTTCCTGCCAGCCAGCTACCCGCTCCCGCCCTCTTCAGGAAGCCAGAAGGCCTGGGCTCTGCCCCAGAACAACTTCTGCCTTCATTTTCTTTCCTACCGCCCCTGGCACACTTACCCATCCACCCTCACAGAGGGCACGCCACCCACACCAGCTCCTTCCTACTCACACCCACCTGACCCCAGCACACACGCACACGCACACACCAACACACAGGCACACAACACTCACAGCATATGCTTGGATGAGTACGCCACCACCACACACCAGCACAACTCTCCAGTGAGCCCCAGCTCTGACGCACAGTAGAACACACACAAGCACGGTGCTGTGGCACACGCCTGCTGTGGTCCCAGCAATTGTGAGGCTGAGGCAGGAGGATCACTTGAGAGTTCGAGACCAATTGGGCAATATAATGAGACCCTGTCTCAAAAAAAAAGGTGGGGGAGCCCAGCCGGGTGTGATGGTGCATACCTCCAATTCCAGCACTCTGGGAAGCTCTGACAGGAAGATTGCAAATTTGAGCCCAGCTTGGGCAATACAGCAACATGGCCAGACCTTGTCTCAAAATTAAGAAATTAAAAAAGGGCTAAGGATGTAGCTCAGTGCAAAGGTCCTGGGTTCAGTCCCCAGTACTAGAAAATAAAGTACCTGTACCTAAGTCTGCTTCTCCAGTTCACACACACTTACTCAGACACGCATCGTTTTGAATTCAGACTCAACTCTCTCTAAGTAGGTCTCTCGCACGCCCTGCGCAGCTCCCTCACACACTCCAGTCACTGCCTCCTAAACGCAAACACCCTCCTGGAGCCCTGCCTCTGCTCCCGGGCTGGGTGGGCACGCCCCGAAGTCCCTGGGACCCCAACCTCCAGAGCTCCACTCCTATCCCCACACCAGAAAAAGGCCCAGGTCAGAAGCTGGGGCCACCAGGGTCCTTTACAGGAGCTCCCCTAAGAAGCTGAGCCTCTACTGACATCTGTGTCCTCTGAGCAACACGCCAGGCAAATCATTGAGCAAGGGCCGCCACCCTCCTCCCCCAGCCAGAACCTCTGCCATTGCAACACGCAGAGAGGAACTGCCGGGGAGGGGACTCGGTTTCCTAAGATGCGGTAGGGTGGGGCCAACCTGATGAACCCAGATTCCCCTAAGAGGGTCCTGAAAATCCTAGGGAAAAGGGCCTCTGCTTGCCCTTCTTGGCCCCTAATCCGCTTTCCCTTCTCAGTATCCTCTTCTTCTCTCTAGCCCTTCCTACTTCACCACTCAGCTCTTCCGGAAACTTTCCTGGATCCAGCGGGCCCTGTCTGTCCTAGGAATGCTCTGACCTCTCTCCCAGGCCCACCTGCCTCTCCCTGTTTAATGATCCTGTGTCTCCCGTGGTGGATGGGGTGACTCCCATGGGGCAAACTGTGAGGCAGGCTGTGGTGAGAGGCCTGCCATGAAATAGCCCCTGTTCACAAGTCCCTTGCAGAAGTTTTTGCCCTGGGGCCCCTTCCCCGGAGAGAGGCCACCATGGCGGAAGTCCCCCTGGATGCTGCAGCTGCTGAGGGGCAAGAGAGGGAGATGAAAGGGGGCGGGGTGTCCAGGGCCAAGCTGTTTCAGGAAGGTGAGAGGAAAGATGGGGTAATATGAAAGCAAAGGTTACAGGGTGAGAACGAAGGTCTTCTCACAGGAAGACAAGCACACACCTCAGACAGTGAATCAAGCTGACACCTACATCCGCGCAGGCCTCAGACACGTTCTCGAGCACACACATCGTCTCGGCTGCACAGAGCAGAACATTCAGAAACTGAGATCCTCTGTGCTGGCTCCCAGACACATACATCTGCTAGTTCATACGTACCCCGTATATACAAAGCTCCAGCCCTCATCCCTTCTACACACACACACACACACACACACACACAGAAAGGATTATAGCACTTACTATCTGCCTGCCACTGCATTAAGCCCTTTACCCATACCACCTCATTTTACCCTCACAACAACCCTATGGTTTTAAGGATTATTACAGATGAAGTAACTGAGGCACAGAGAGGCTTAGAGAGTTGTCTGGGGTTACACAGATGATGTCTCCTGCCTTTGACTCTTAGACCTGAGTGCTCAACCACTTCTCTGCATTGCCTGTCAGACAAAGATGGCTGCAGTTGGTCCCCAAAGCACAAGCAAATGCAGAGCCCCCGTAGGGACCCAGGGATATACATAGCCCTCCCCTTGAGACACGGCCCAGCGCAGAGCTCCTCTGAGGAGGAGGAACTGCCGGGGAGGGAACAAAATTTATACAACTCTGGGATCCGCACATAGGTACAATGTTGCCACCTCCAATAACACCCAAGTGCATCCTGCCACAACAGATCTGTGTCAGCCCAAGGGGAGCCCCAGATTCTGCACGCCTGGCATGGTACAGGGCTCCGTTAACAGGGCTGACAGTGTGGCCAGCAGGCAAAGGTGGGCAGCTGTCAGGGCTTTATTACCCGCAGGCTTGAAGGCACCAAGGCCCCAGCTGGGCCTGGCCTCCGGGACCAGTATGCTGAGGGACTCAGGGGATTGGAACATTGGGTCTGTCATCTGCATGGCCCAAGGCACTGAGGCGCCACACTGCATGTGACCATGCTTGAGAGGTTTCTTCTTTAGAGACAAAGGGCTGGAAGGAGACAGCAAAAAAGAGAGGGAGACACACACAGAGGCAGAGACTGACAGACAGACAGACAGACAGACCGAGAAATGCAGAGAGATCTAAGGGGAGAGAGACAGAAGGAAAAGACAGAGACAAAGAGAACAGTGTGGTGTGCTGGTAAACTGACTTTCAGGAAAACAAAACATCAAGCCCTGATCTATAACATTTGTTGATTTCTGTAGTGTAAATAGCCCCGCCGGCCGTGGCTGATTTAAAGCTACCAAAGTGACTTCCTGAAGGCCAGGCCAGGAAGGGATGCACAGAATCAGCTCTCCCAGCCAGTGCCAGCTGGCTCCAGCCCATCATTTCCAGAAAGACAAAGAGACAAGTGGAGACAGAAGCCCAAGGGAAAGAGGAAGAGCAACAGAAAGACAGCAACAGAAAAAGAGAAAGGCAGAGATGCAGGGGAAGAGTGCGAGGTAGAGAGCTAAGCAGACCAAGAGGAAACAAAAGGGAGGGCGGTGGCCGCAGGCAGGCCAGGTCCTCTCTGCTTAGGCATCTGCATGAAATCGGCCCCCAGGACTCTTCGCTGTCCCCTCCCTCTGCTCTCAACCATGTGCCAACAATTCTGAGGGGAGTAATTGGACTTCCTAGAAGTCTGGGTGGCAATAGCTATTAGTAAAAATGTGCTAATTTATTAAACATTTATGCAGTGGCTGGCACTGTGCCAAACCATTCCTATGCATGATCTCATTTTGTGACCTTATGAGGTAGGTTTTTTTGTTTTTTTTTTTTCTTTGCAGTGCTTAGATGGAATCCAGGGCCTTGCACATGTTGGCCAAGTGTTCTGCCACTAAGCTACATCACTAGCTCAAAGTAGGTTTTATTTTTAACCCTTCTTCTGCAGATGAGAATACTTGAGGCACAGAGAATGTTAAGTCACTTGCCCAAGATTATGTTTTGAGTAAGAAAAGCTAAAATACAATGCCAATCAATTTGGCTCCAAAGCCCACCTTAAGCTATGATCTATTTTGCAGTCCTGGTAGAAGCAGTAAGGTGTCTGCCTTTCTGAGTGACCACTGCATTCCAGGCCCTGTACTATATGTTCTCAGTCCTAGTTATGGTCCAGAGAGAGAAAGCGGTGTTTCTTTGGAAGCGCTGAACTTGACTGGCTGCTAGCACCAGGAAGGGGGCAATTTAGAGTGACTAGGGACATTCTGGGTACTGCAGAGGCTTGAGCCAGCTTGTGAATTGTCTCTTTCTCTCCCTCTCTGCTTTGATTCTGGGGATTGAACCAGTGTTTTGTGCATGCTAAGCACACACTCTACCACTTAGCTACACCCCCAGCTCTGAATATGTCTCTTGAACATCTGGCTGACAGAAACCGGCTCCCAGAGTCCCTTTAGGGTCAAAACTAGGTTACGGGTGTCGGAGCTGAGCTCCAGCTCTGGACCACAGTGCTCTTCCTCTCCAGCGCCCCCTCCCATGGGGCCCTCCCCAGCTTGGTTCTTGTTTTTTGTTTTTTTTTTTTGTTTTGTTACAGGGTTTTACCATGCAGTTCAGCCTGGTCTTGAACTCAGTTTCTAGCCCAGGCTGGCCTCCAACTCACAGCGATCCTCCTGCCTCAGCCTCCTGAGTGCTGGGATTACAGACATGTGCCACCATACCTGGCCTCCTAGCTTGGTTCTTTAGCAGTGCTATAGCCTTGGGTGAATGTCTTGTCTGCACCTTCTGTGCTGAGTAGCTAGGAGGGCTTGATGAGATGAGGCGCTTGCTTGGTGTGCAGTGACTGAGTGAGGCTGAGAACCACAAGCAGAGCTGGGTGTGGTGGGGCACCCCTGTAATCCCAGCACTCAGGAGGCTGAGGCAGGAAGATCGTTGCGAGGTCAAGACCAGCCTGGGCTACAAAGTGAGCTCAAGGTCAGCCTGAACTGCATAGCGAGACCCTGTCTCAAAAACAAAACAAAACAAACAAACAAACCAACAAACCCACAAGCAGCAGAGTAGCATGGCCCCCAGGGACTCTTATCAGTCCATTTGCCTCTTGTGCATTTGTAAGTGGGGAGGGATGACTCGCCCAAGGTCACACAGCCAGGCAGGAGGTTCAGTGCTGGGACTATTAATTTGGGTCCAGAGTTCTATTTCTGGCAGTGTCTGTATTCTTAGAGCCTGAGGAGGATCGTGCTGTCCCTGACTGGTGAATGTCATTCTTCCAACCCAGCCCCTGGCCGGCTGAACACACCACTGCTCTTATCCAGCAGCTGGCCACCTGAGAGCAGCCCTGCCTCTCACCCACACTACTCCTGGACACAGGATCCGCAAGCCCACCCAGTTTTTCTTTCTTTCTTCTTTTTTTCTTTTCCTTTCATTTTATTTCATTTCTTTTCTTCCTGCTTTCTTTGGGGAGGGACTAGGCATTGAACCCATGAGCACGCTACCACTGAACTTGGATCTTCCTGCCTCTCGGGTAGCTGGAATTACAAAGTGTACATACATCACGGTGCCCAGCTCACCCATCTTCCCTTGCGGGTCACACTTCCCAAAGCCATGTCAAGGTTTTGATGTACACACACGTTGTCCTACCCTTCCCAAACCCTACCAAACATCGCAGGATCTGGAGAAAGATTTAGGCTCAAATTCTACCCCCACTGACAACTAGCGTGAGACACTGGGCAAGACAATTCATCTCTCTGAGCTGCAATTTATAGAAAATAGGAATATGAGAGGTGTGATGCAGCACGTCTATAACCCCAACACTCTGGGAGGCTGAGGCAAGATAGCAAGTTAAAATCCAGCCTGGGCAGCTTAGTGCTTAGCGAGACCCTGTTTCAAAGTTAAAAAAAAAAAAAGGGCTGGAGCTGTTGCTCAGTGTGAAGACTCTGGTTCAATCCCCAGTACTGAAGGGGAAAAAAAAAAAAAAAAAGCAATACAAATCTACCACATGGAGTTGTTTCTGAGCAGCAAAGGCAGAAAACATCAGTATACAGTAGGTGCTCAGGAGCTGGGGCTTTAGCTCAGCGGCACAGTGCCTGCCTGGCAAGCGCAAGGTCGTGAGCTCGATTCCCGGTACCAGAAAAAAAAAAAAAATACAGTAGGTGCTCAGTAAACCTTCACTTCCCTCCTTTCCCTTTGAGGAAGGCCCTAAGAAGGCACGGGGGAGGTGAGCAGGGCTGCAGGGTTGGCCAAAGCTGAGAAGAAAGAGAAGTTCCTGGGCTATGTAGAGGGTCAGGCCTGCCAGGGAGGCCTGGGGGTTCACCAAAGGGAACTGGGACCTTAGGCGGCAGCAGGAAACCACCATCCTGCAAGAGTCTCAGCTTCTCCCCAGGGCAGGGGCTGGCCTGGGCCCTGACTGTAGGGTGCCGCATCCTCTCCCCCAGCCCTGTCGCTGAGCCCCGTCTCCCTCCTTGAGACTGCACCTCTCAGTAACCCTCTTTCAGCTCACACTGTTGGCTCCGGAGGCCTCAAGATCCACCCATCCTGGACACCCAGGGCGAGGACAAGCCTCCTCAGACTGCAGGCCCTGGGGAGGCCAAGGGAAGGTGTGTGTGAGCAGGGCCCAGTCGCCTCTGTGACCCACGAGTTCTACCCTCCATATGCTCCTGAGGGTAACAGCTCAGAGCATCTGAGTAAAAAACTGGTTTTCTACCCATTACTGACAGCCACCCTGCTAGCCTCTAAATCAGGGGTCTTTATGTCCACCTGGCCTAGGGCTTGGGATGAGAATGTGAGTGATCCTGAGATGCTGAGGGAATAGAGTCCACAGTGTAGCAGATGGGACGCACTCGCCACAGGGTCCTGGGAGAGCTCGGGGGTGGTGGGGGCTTCTCACTTTCTCTCACCTCGAGCCCCCCCATCCAGTCCACTCTGTGTGGAAAGGGCTCTGGCTCCTCCTTCCTTCCCCAGCTCTGGGGTCCTCTACCCAGCCTGCCAAGGCCCAGACATTTCCTTTGCCACGCCAGCCGCAAGAGACTGCAGACAACACCGGGATACACGCACAGGAGCTCACAGGCTCAAGCCTGAGCCACTCGCACAAACGCTCTCACACCTGCTCTCACACCTCCATTCACAGCTTCACACCCTCTGCCCTCGGGGGAGCAGAAGCTGTCTGTGAGGCCCAGGAAGCCCACCCCGCCTCCCCCAAGCCCCACTGAGGGCCACCTGAGCTTGGGCAAGGGTGAGCTGGGGGCTCAGGCCTCAGCTCTGGCTAACTCTTTGCCATATCAAGATGAGATGCCCCTGGCTGGGGCCCCAGCCACTGAGCCCCAAAGTCCCACCTTCCCATCTAGGATACGGGAGCAGAGCACTGCTCTCCCATTTCCGCCGCAGATGGAAGGATGCTAAAGGCTCCCGGGTCCCTGAGAGACTACATGCCTGAGGGCTGACCGCCGGAGCAGGGCGCCCTGGCGGTGGAGGACACATCTCCGTCCGGGCTTATCTCCCCAGGATAGAGCCTCAGCAGGCATTTCCTTGCTAGATGCCAACTTCGCGCTGGTCCTTGGAGGCCCTATCAGTGAGATCCAGTCTTCCTGGTCCCACCCATGTTACGAGAAGGTGAAGGACAGGTTTGCTTAACCCTTTCTGCAAAACTGCTTTCTACAGTGATTCACACGGGGGACGGGTAATTTCTAAGACCCAGAGAAGCCGGGTAACTTTCCCGCAGTCACACAGCAATTAGGGGTCCGGGTCTCTGAGACTGCGGATCCTCCACCCCAAGATTTTTCAATACTGAGTATCATTGCCTCCCTGGCTGGCTGCTCGGTTGGGCATCGCCCCCCGCCCCGCCTGCCCCGACCCAAAATGCGGGAAAAGATGGGGACCAAAGTGGGGGACGGCCAGCACTGAGTACTTAGTGGCCCAGCACAGCCGGCCTCTCCGCCCTCTCGTTGCCATGGAGAAGTCCCCTCCAGGCATTCGCGGTCAAAGGCAGGATTTCCGTCAGGGGGGGGCAGCAATTCCCGGATCCCAAGGGGAGCGCGGATGCAGACCTTGCCACCGCGGGCGGGCGGGGAGGGGGGACCCAGGGAGGGCCATCCCTGCTGAGGGCGGGGACTTCCCCAGGAAGCCGGACCAACGCCTCCAGCGCCTGGAAGGAGTTCCCTGCGGTCCAGAGCTCGCCCGCCACTGCAGGGGCTGGGAGGTCCGGGGGGCTGCGGCCGCTGCCTCCTCTACCCTGCCGGCGCCAGGCTTCACCCCGACTTCTGCCTATTTGGGATAGGGAGATTTTGCGGACCGCTGGAACAGTGTCCCACTCTCCGAGACCCCCTTCCCGCAGACCCCCGCACCCGATCTCCCCAGAACCCCTGCCTAGTCCCCCTCTGCCGGGCCCCTCAGCTTCCCCCCATTTCTGTCTCTCAAGCCCCCCGCCAGGTCCCCCCCGAGACCCTTGGGGAGAGCCCTACAGCCCTTCCCCTCGGATCTCACCCCTTTCCCAGTTCTACCAGCCTGGTTCCAGGGGTCTCGGTTTCCCCATCGACCTCTTCGGGTCCCTTTAGACTGCTTTCCCCCCGGACTCTCAGCCTGCTTCCAACTTTTATCGGGGCTCACTTTCCAGGTCGCCTCAGTTTTCCTCTTTAGCCCGTTCGGGATGGGGTCCCCTGGCCGTAACCTTCCTCGGGTCTCCCCAAGTTCAGGCTGCTCCCCGCGCCTGCAGGGCCGGGGCGGGCGGCGGGGGGCGGAGCGCTCTCTGCCCTCCCAGCGCCACCTGCCCCGGGCGCCTACCTGGTCCGAGGGGAGCTCGCGTCTGACCCAGCTGGGGCCAGTGAGCCCCGGCTCCCAGCAGCCACAAGTGCGGACGACGTGGGGGGGAACCGGGGTGCTGCCTGCGTGCGCCCGCCGCCCCCTCTGGGCAGGGAGCAGGAAGCGACTCGGACTTCTCTTCTTGCGGTGGCGGCCGCGGCGGCGGCGGGGAGAATTCGCTGTCACGCCCCAGCCCCAAGCCAGCTGCCCGCAGCAGGGAGGAGCCCCTAGCTCCCAGGCCCGCCCGTCCCCACTTCCCGCCCTCGCGGAGTTACCGGGGTTCGGCTCTCCGCAGCCTTCTCCCTGCGCCCCAGTTCCTACCCCGAGACCCTCGAAGGGGCAGGCTCCTCACCCCTAAAGCACCTGCTCATTGGCACGGTGGCAGCAGAGGGGGGCTCTGTCTGTCGGTGCAGCCCACCTACCCCCAGGCCTTCGCCAGCTGGGAAGACCAGGACCCGATCGGGACTGGCCTTACCCACGTTCTCACAGCCCGCTGTCGGCAGAGCCACCGTGGATCCTGTCGCCGTGCCTTGCCTGCTTTTCCTCAGTGGCTGGCACTGATGGGACAGGGGTATTTGAGGTGGGGACAGCGGGAGACCTTGACCTTAGGAAACTGCTTTTCTGAGCAATCTGACCTCAGGCCATAGCTACACACCCAACTTTTAGAAAAACTGAGTGTCACCCTTTATCACGGTTCAGGCCTTCCTAGTAGGAATCCCTGACCCTTACCCAACCTGGGCTTCCATTCCCACCCCCTTCACTTCTTTAGCCTTAAACCAAGGACCAGGAAACTCTCAACTAGAGAGGAAGAGCAGTGTGTGGGAGGACTGTGTGGTGGAGGAGAGAGAGTGTGTGTGTGTATGTGTGTGTTGGGATGCAGTGGGCTGACATGGGACAGGGATGCAGTGGGCTGCGTAAACACTGAAGGGGCAGACAGCTGATTTAGGCCATGACAAGATGGCCTTGGTTTTGGAATCAACAGCTGGGGCGCATTCTATAGGCAGATGTGTTTCTGTGCCGGGGCAGGGGTGCGTGGGGATGTGTGTGTGTGTGTGTGTGTGTGTGTGTGTGTGTGGACTGAGGTCTCAGGCTCGTCCCGGAGGCACTGTGTCGTGACAGAGTGGAGCGTTGCAGATGAAAAGGCTGCTGTCTTAGGAAGACAGGAGGAGGGGTGAGGAGGGAGACCGAAGAGCCAGCAGAGGTGCAGGGAGTTTGGAAGGTGGCCGCATCGTGACCTCCATGTTGTTGAGCAGCCCCCTCACTGGCCCTAGGTCCACACGTTCAGTTAACTGACAAACTTTTGTCACTGCCACTCAGGTGCCAGCGGGGGAGCACAGAGAGGAAAGAGACTTGTCCCTGGTCTTGGGGGCCCCTCTGTCTACCAGGCTTGCCCAGTCACCCTTCAAGGTTGGATTCGAAGGCCACCCTGCAGGAGGCCTTCCTCGATGACCACCCTACCTCCACCAGCCTGGGTCCCACACTGGCTCCAGGGGGTGGGCGTGAGGAGTGTTTTCCTCAAGAGCAAGGTCTGCTTCTGGCTTTTGTCCATCCCTCCAGTGCCCACGCAGGGCCTGGCACAGAATACCAGGCATAGAAATGAGTGAATCAGCCGGTGTGGTGGCACATGCTTCTTTTTTTGTTTTTTTGTTTTGTTTTGTTTTGTTTTTCCGGTACCGGGAATCAAACTTGCAATGTTGCGCTTGCCAGGCAGGCGCTGTGCCACTGAGCTAAATCCCTAGCCCCTAGCACATGCTTCTTATCCCAGCACTCTGGGAGGCTGAAACAGGATAATCGTAAGTGCAAACCCAACCTAGGCAATTTAGCAATTTAGAGAGACAGTGTCTAAAAAATAAAGTATGGACCAGGAGGCAAGGAAAAGGGAATTAACTGGAATGTGTCCTCGGTGTGTGCTTGGGGCTTGTGGAACGTGATTGGATTGCGGAGGAGGTCCTGGACCGAGCTGGTAGCAGGTGGGGCGTGGTGGGAGGAAGCAGAACACCTGAGTGAGACCTGGAAGCATACATCTGCCTCCCTCCCCCCGCTCCCTCCTCCTCCTGCTTCCTGGCGCTCATGAAAGGAGCCGCTTTTCCTCCACTATGCACCTTTCCCCTGCTATGGAACCAGCAAACCATGGACTGAAATGTGAGTCAAAATTAACCTCTTCTCCTATAATTTGTGAATGTCGGGTACTTTGTCCCTGTGACAAGGAAAGTCACGAAGACAACACATGAATAAATAAAAGCTCAATGAAAATATAAATTATTGAACGTAAGAAGAAGTGGAGAATTTAAGAATCAGTGACCAAATAATCAAATGAATATAAGAACAAAATTGCCTTTCCTTCCCCCAGCAGTACTGGGGATCGAACCCAGGGCCTTGGCCCTGAGCTGCATCCCTAGTCCTTCTCACTTTGAGACAGGGTCTCACTAAGTTGCTAGTTGCCCAGGCTAAGCTTGAATTTGCTATCTTCCTGCTCCAGCCTCCTAGGGTGCTGGGATTATAGACGTGTGTGCCTACTTCTTAAAACACATGCTAGGTCATATTATTCCCTGGCTTGTATCCTCCCAAGGGCTTGCTTTTCATTTCACTTGAAAAATTAATATAGTATAATATTATAAAGAACAGGGGCTGGGGATTTAGCTCAGCGGCACAGCGCCTGCCTGGGAAGCGCAAGGTCGTGAGTTCGATTTCTGGTACCAGAAACCAAAAAAAACCAAAAAAAACAAGAACAGTAAAATCCAAAGGCCTTTTCATGGTCTCCCAGGTCCTGTGTGTCTGGCCTCTGCCACCTCTAGTCCCCATTGGACCATCTTCCTCTTTAGCTACATGCGAACCCCTTGTCAGTTCCTGGAATACACAGAGGTTTTGCCTCCAGGCCTTCTTGTGTGCTGCCCCCTCTTCTCCTTGTGGTCACAAGGTGACCCTTCTTTCCCTCCTTCCCTGGAAGCACCCCCACTCTAGAGAAACCTCCTGGAGCACCTCATTAAAGGCGGCCCCTCATCCATGCCCTCGGCACTCAATTTTTCTCCTTCACGGCCTCCACAATCTGTAATTATGTGTTTATTGTTCACTGTCTTGATGAGATCAGGGCTCCGATCTCAGGAGTCACACTGAGGACAGGGACAGGTGGATTCTAAGTTGTCATTCACCCATTCAGAATCACCATGGTTAGGGACACAGATCTGGGGCCCAGACTGCATGGTTTGTAGAACAAATCTGTGTCTTCCCGGCTCCATGACCTTTCTTCACTTCTCTGTGCCTCCATGTCCTCATCTGTAAAATGGGAATAATAGTAGACTGCATCTCACAGAAGTCTTAGGAGAAATCAGTGAACTCTTAGGATAGTGCTTGCCACAGTAAATGTCATATAAGTGGTTATTTTTTTTATTATTATTATACTGGGGGATCAAACCCAGGCCTTCACATATGTTAGTCCTGGGATACATCTTCAGTCCTTTTAAAATTAAAGACAGTGTCTTCTTAAGTTGTCCAGGATGGCCTTACATTTATGATCCTCCCGAGTAGCTGGGATCACAGGTGTGCACCACCACACTCAGCCAAGTGTTCGCTCTCATTCATTAATTCACGCATGCATCTGACCAAACCTCAGTGACAGCTGGTGCTCAGCTGGGAGGCACGTCCAGTCCTTGGCCTTATGTGGCACAGGATTAAGCACAGGGCAAAGAGGCAACAGGAGCGGCCTGTTGGAAGTGCCCACTCTCTGACCCGTCTTCTTTCCTTACAGAACCTGTGCTCACATGTTCCTTTCAAACAATGCCAAAAACTAATGCCAAAAACAAAAGCAAAGCCAGGCATGGTGCACACTCCTGTAATCCCAGCACTGCAGCAGGAGGATTGCTGCAAATTCGGGGCTAGCCTGGGCTACATAGTGAATTCAAGGCCAGCCTCAATTACTTAGTGAGACCCTGTCTCAAAACAAATCAACAAACCCCAAAGCAAGCCCAGTTCCCATCTGGTCAGCCCGCTCCTTCTGCTTTCAACCAGTCTGGATTCTCTTGTCAGTCCCCATAGTCTCTCTTTGCAAAGCCCCTACACTGCCCTGCCCCGCTGTCCTCCAGTGTGCTTGCCGGGAAAGCAGGAATCCAAGCACCCGCCTTCCACAGGGGAGGACGGGAAAGCTGCCTGCAGTGCACACAGGGCCACAGCTCCCAGCCCCTGCAGAATAGTAACCAGGCCGGCCGGCCTCTGCTGGGTTTCTCTGTAAACTGGCGCTGTATCCTGGCCCAGGTGGCCAGTGCACAGCCTTACCGCCGCCCTTCAACTCCCCACCCCTTCTCCTCCTTCCCCACCGGGCCTCGCATCTTCTAGAACTTCACGCCTTCCGCTGGCCCCTTCCCTGTGCCCGCCGTCTCTCCCTCTTACAGTCTGATCCTCTTATCAGGAAAACGCATTCTAGAATCTCACTTCCAAAGACAAAGTCAAAAACCTTCTCCTAGGGAATTAAGCATCTGTGCTGCTTTTTTACGCAGCACTGTAGTCCGTTCCCAGGTGATGAAGGGAAGCGCTTCCTTGGAGAGGACCTTGGGCTGGGTGGGCGCACACAGCGGGAGTGGGGAGGCCTCCAGGCTGAGAGAAGAGGGTAAATAGTGAGATCTGCCTCGTCAGGCCTTGACCTGGGATTCCCCGTCTCCAGAACTATGAAAAAAATACATAACCTGCTGTGAAAGAAAGAAAGAAAGAAAGAAAGAAAGAAAGAAAGAAAGAAAGAAAGAGAGATCCACCTGATAACATAAATGTAGCTGGGCGTGGTGGCACACACCTGTAATCCCAGCACTTGGGAGGCTGAGGCAGGAGGATCACTGTGAGTTCGAGACCAGCCTGGGCTACAAAGTGAGCTCAAGTCCAGCCTGAACTGCATAGAGAGATCTTGTCTCAAAAAGACCAAACAAATAAAAAAATAAAAAAATAAAAAAAATAAAAGGAATGTAAGAACTAGAAAAACTCCATTTTGTAATCCCAATCCCCCAATGATTTAGGGTTGGGAGTGTGGGATGATGGTAGAGCGCTCGCCCAGCAAGGGTGAGTTCTTGGGTTTGATCTCTAGCACTGCCACCACCGCCACCCCCCAAAAAATCACTCATTTCAAGTTTTCAGTGACAATGCAATGATGCCATCTTAGTCATCTTGGGTGGCTGTGACAGTACCAGAGACAACACAAATGTA